CCTGAGTGTGCAGTGCTGTGTAGGTGAGGTGCGTGGTGTGTAGTGTATTGTCAGGTGGAGGTTTCCTGAGTGTGCAGTGCTGTGTAGGTGAGGTGCGTGGTGTGTAGTGTACTGTGTGTACAGGTGGGGGTGTCCTGAGTGTGCAGTGCTGTGTAGGTGAGGTGCATGGTGTGTAGTGTACTGAGTGTCAGGTGAAGGTGTAGTGGCTGTGCAGTACTGTGTAGGTGAGGGGTATGGTGAATGGGCAGTGTGATGCTGGCCTAGGCTTCCCTCGCTTTTGTGGGTGACCGCTCACACCAATGGAGTGAACCACTCACCTCAAACAGCTCCCCATGCCACAGCTTCCTGGCTGAGGTCTTTAACCTCAAGTATTTGGCCACCTGGGCCTATGAGAGTCTGGCACTGTAGTTCCTGATGTGTATACAGTTCCTTCAGGGCACTTGTCAGACCAGCTGAGTTTGATGATTCTAGCCCTCATTACAGAGAGCAGCAGTGGAGACCTCGTAGGGCATCAGACCCAGAAGGGTTGCTCCTCCATGGACAGAGAGCTGGATTGTCCCACCCAGAGCCCAGGTGTGGGCTCGCGGCTCTTCTCCACCTACCTTCTACGGGTGATAAGGTTTTTCAGAAGCAATGAAAAGCTTGATGCTCACTTTGCCAACTTTGCATTATTGCATGTGCAGACACCCCAGATGGTAAAGTTAACCAGCTGTGGAAGAATGAAATCTCTGTTGTTTGTTGTGTGTGGTCGAGTAGAAAACAACCCATAGCTGACCCTCCAGGGGGGTTTCAGGGCAGTAAATCATGCGGGAGGAGATTGCTCATACTTCTGCAGAGTAGCTGGTGGCTTTGAACTGCGTGCCTTTGCTGTTGTTATGTGTCATCGAGTCGCTTGCAACTCATAGCGACCCTAAGTACAACAGCCCTAAACCCTGCCCTATCTCTTGCTAACCTTATTGTCTCCGACATGCCTATCCCCATCTCCCCAGTGATGGAATCAATCCATCTCATCGAGGGTCTTCCTCTCTTGTGTTGTCCCTCCACCCTCCCAAGCATGACGTCCGTCTCCAAGGACTGATCCTGCCTTGCAATATGTCCAAAGTATGTCAGAGGGAGCTTTGAATCCTTGCCTCCAAGGATCAACCTGGTCTCACCCCCTCCAGGATGAACCTCTGTGTTCTTCTAGCAGTACATGGTATATTCAATACTCTTCTCCAGCACCACAGCTCAAAGGCATCAATTCTCCTTCTATCATCCCTGATCATTGTCCAACTTTCTGATGCATAGCAAGTAAATGCAAAGACTATGGCCTGGATTAGGCACACTTCAGCCTCCAGACTGACATCATTGCTCTTCAGTACTCTGGAGAGGTCTCTGACAGCAGGCTTTGCCAATGCAATTCATCTTTTAATTTCCTGGCTGCCGGTTACAAAAGTGTTGATTTTGGAGCCAAGCAAATGAAAGCTGTTAACAATCTCAATCT